CTTATGTGATTTGTATCTGCACAGCAGCTTGCATGTTGTGTTGGGGTTGAGCCTCACCGTCAGCCAGCCTGAGGGTCTATCCCACACATGATGGTCCAATAGCAATAAGAACTCAATTACATCAGGATGGCCCATGTAATGTGCTTAAGGGACATTCTTAGGGCACCCAACTCAAGTGAACAGGGAGACTGTGCAGTGGGTCTTTCAGGTCACTTACTATATAAGGCCACCCTACCAAGATTGGGAGTCAAAGCAGATCTACATAATACATAGAAACAAGCACAATGAGGCAGCCCAATGGGGAGAGAGAGAACAGGACCCAAACGAAAGAACGAGAAAATTCTCCAGAAGGAGAGCTAAACAAAATAGAGGTAAGCAACTTACAATTTATAGAGTTCAAAGTAATGATTATAAGGATGCCGAACGCATGAACCAGCACATAGAAACCATAAAAAGGACCAGGCAGAAATAAAGAATGTGGTGGGTGGAGGTGGAAGAGGGTATAGGGGGGATAATTGGTGATGAAAAAAATAAAAGAAGAAAATTAGATGTTAAGTTTTGAGAGAATAAAATAGGATGGAGTGAATGTGTAGGTGGGGGAGTTACTCTAGATTGAAGTTGAGGAAAGGTCTCCTTAAAGCTGTGATGTCTGAGATTTGGATAACAAGCTGGGCCAGCCACGTCAAGATCAGGGGGAAGAGCATGTTGAATAAATCCACACAAGTGGATTTATTCAACAACTTTTACGATTTAAATGTATATGGCCATGCTCACCTAGATCTCAGAATCTGTCTCATGATTCCAGGATCAGAATCAGTCATTATCTAAGAGTCACACTGAAGAAAACTCATGTTTAAAGTCTATGCAATATGTCCTGCTTCAAGTCCTCAGATGTCCCGTCCACAGGATAGGACGCTAGTAGTATTTTAGGAAAATGGCATCTGGTGTTATATTTTAAAAGTGAATTTGCTCTGATAGAAAGCCTGTATGAACAACTTCCTTCATCCTTTAGTAAAAATAATTGTCCTGAAGGATTATAAGAGTTTATATGCAGATGTGGCAGGGAAGAAAGCTGTTACAGTTTTAGATTTTCTTGCATATTTTGGTTACTGTACAACAGAGACCTGATGAGTTGCCAGCAAATAACAAGCCAGAACCCTGGATCCAGAGAGCTTTAGTGATATCCAGCCAACACAGAACTGCTTTCCCTCCCACAGGGTGGTCTCCAGATCTGTTGTAGCCCTTAGCAAGACTTTACATCACAATTGAAAACAGATGCCCTTTCTGCCCTCTCCCTCACTGAGTTAACTACCATTCAGGGGGACACACCTTTGAATGCCTAGCCAGAGTCCTCCTTTGACATTCTGCTCAGGAGTCTTGCTGTGAAAAACCCTGCAATAGACAACAGTCACAGATGTTGCCAGATTTGTGAGGCTCTGGCAATCTGCTTGGTGCGTTCTGAATGCTTCTTGTCATAAATCAAAATACCATTACTAAGGTCTAATATAAAAACTTCTCTCTGGACAGTTTCTACTTTAGAATATTTAATCCTAACGGAAAGCATTTAATCCTAAAGGACTATGTAATCCTAAGGGAAACCAAAGCGTACTCTCCCTAATGGACTATATTGAGTTTTATTACAGGAAATGGCCCTGAAACATCTTTATATTATGTGTATATGACACTCAAAACCCAGAGTATCAAAAAAAAAATCACTTTAAATTCTTGATTAAAAGACACGTCTTAGCCCTAGCCGGTTTGCTCAGTGAATAGAGCGTCGGTCTGTGGACTGAAGGGTCACAGGTTCAATTCTGGTTGAGGGCATATGCCCGGGTTGCAGGCTCGATCCCCAATAGGAAGCGTGCAGGAAGCAGCTGATCAATGATTCTCTCGCATCACTGATGATTCTATCTCTCTCTCCCTCACCCTTTCTCTCTGAAATCCATAAAAATATATATTTAAAAAAAGAGACTTATTAGACACTAGTGGCCCAGTACACAAAAACTCAGGGGGAGGGGGTCCTCTAGCCTAGCCTGTGCCCTCTCACAGTGCAGGATCCCTCTGATCAATTGTCCCAAAGAGGTAGGCCCCACCCACCCACCGGATTGCCCCAAAGAGGTAGGCTGGAGCCGGGGGTCCTGTCTCTGCAGTGGATTCAAGCCCCGGAACCCCAACAGAAGCTGCAAGGAGCAGCCTCGGGGACCCGCCTCGCCTCCTCCTTCGGAGGCAGCGGAGATGCTGGGACGGGCCTCCTCCACGCCACCTGGTGCCGTGGGACCTCCAGGCCCGCCGCATGGTGGCGCTGGACCCTGCCTGCACTGCATGTGCAGGCACCTTGTGACGTTGTGATGATCACCTGGGCTATTATTAGTATAGATAATGGAATATAATGTGTAGATTTTGGTTGGAACATGGTGTAAATCAATTGACATTTAAATGACAACTGGGACATTTAAATATGCACCGAGTGTGTGACAAAATTAAGGAATCATTTGTAATTTTGTTAGATGTGATAATGATATGGAGTTATGAAAGGAAATATACTTATATTGTGGACATACACATGCAAATTAGGGAGGAAATGTCACATCTATAATTTATTTTAAAAGACTTCAACAAAATATCAATTGAAGAAAATAAGGCAAAATGTTAATAATTGTTTAATTTATGGTCTCTGAGTTTACTATAATATTTTCTCTACTGTTCTGTACATTTGAAAATTTTAATAATTTAACATTTTGAACAAAATTTTTGACAGTTGGAGTATAGTATAGTGATTTGTCAGCTAAATAGCACTGCTTTATGGTCATAGTGGATGTTGCTTTATTGTGCCTTTTGTGCTGCGATAGTAAATAGCAATAGACCTGGAAACTAGATGATTTCTTCATAAAATGGAACATTACAATAAAGATGGACCAATAATCTCCCTTATGGCCCCAACCCTACGCTCTGATTTTGTAATTTGGCCCATGATTATGAGAGGTGAAGTAGTTAAAAAGTAAAACTGAAACATGTGGAATACAAAAGCTAGTATTAGCTCTTTAATATATATACTGATATATATTTCATATGTATATCAGAGATGAAGGGAGAGAGAGAGAGGAGGAGGAAGAGAGAGGGAGAAAGAGAGATAGAAACATCGATGAGAGAGAACCATTGATCAGCTGCCTCCTGAATGCTCCCCACTGGGGATCGAGCCCACAACCTGGATGTGTGCCCTGACTGGGATTGAATCCCTGACCTCTTGGTTCATAGGTTAATGTTCAGCCACTGAATTTTTACCACACTGGCAGTCCATGGCACTCATGTGGGTGATCATGGACAGCCAGTGTGGAACAAATTCAGAGTCAAGAGATTGTTCCCATCTGGGGCCATTATAACATCATGGGACATATAAAGCAGGTAAAATTTTGACAGGGAGAGAGAAAACAAGAAACTCTTTTTGTGTGGACCAATGAGTATACCCCGAAGCAAGGAGTGTTTGGATAACTATGAATTGGTAAGTTTGGTTGGAGGGAAAATTTCCTATTGGGACAAGCATGTTGCATCTAATAATTTGGATTATGGTAAAAACTGGGGAAGCAGTAAGGTTTGGGAACATGAGTAAGGCTGTGTCAGGAGCTCAATCTGTCAGTGTTGACCTCAAGGGAGGTTGAGATTAAGACAGGAAGATCAATTGGGAAATCACTGAAAAATAGTTTTAAGTGGGGAAGGGAATACAAGTATAAATTTGGGTAATGACAGTGGGAATAGAAGGAAAGGATGATTACAAAACACACTGTAAAAAAAAGAACCAATTAGATCTGATGACTGCATTTAGGTCCTCTTTGAAAGAGAATAGGAAAATTCACATGAACCTGTATCATTTCATTGATGCAAGCAGTCAACTGTGAGTTTAACATGTCTAATATGACTCAATTGAGAAACTTTGAAAGAAAACTTTTAATTCTTTATTAATTTATAGGAAAGCCAGCCCCACACTTATAATTAGTAAACTATTACACAAATCCTAATAATGAACACTTCCTGTAGCCTTTGCTGCCTTTTTATCCATCTCTAAGAGCCAAGAAGATGCTGGTGTGGAGGGGAAACATGTGACCTGAGACTTTAGCAGAATTTATTGGTTCATAAGTGGGCTGTTACAGTACTTCCAAAAAAGTAGAGATAATCTAGGGCCATGGTCAGCAAGCTGCGGCTCGAGAGCCACATGTGGCTCTTTGGCCCCTTGAGTGTGGCTCTTCCACAAAATACCACCACCTGGGCGAGTCTATTTTGAAGAAGTGGCATTAGAAGAAGTTTAAGTTTAAAAAATTTGGCCCTCAAGAGAAATTTCAATTGTTGTATTGTTGATATTTGGCTCTGTTGACTAATGAGTTTGCTGACAACTGATCTAGGGGAGAGACACCTGGAGGCAGAGCCTGGAGGAGAGTCACGTAAAAAGCTGCCTTGTAAGGATGTCCTTCAGTGGAGGATGGACCTGGCTCCAGAGGGCTCTCCCAGGGAGAGCTAAAAGTCAGCACTCTGACCTTACTCTCCCCTTCTGCCTCTTGCCAACCTTCTTTCCTCTCTCCCATCTAGAAGGCTAGGGAGCATGTTGTTGTGCTCCACACAGGCCATCCTCCTGGGGCAGATGTTGGGATGCGGAAGGGCAGAGAGTAGAACTGGGTGCAAACAGAAGGCAACAGTCACATCCTCTTCACAAAGCATAACAACATGGGGGGAAAGGCCTGGAGGAAGTTCTTCATAGAATCATAAAACGTTAGAGCTAGGCTTAATAAGAGGCATATTTAGACTATAAAGAATTCTTTCAGCGAAGGAGAGACCTTTGTAAAAAAATAAATAAGTAAAAAGAACCAATTAGATCTGATGATTGCATTTAGGTCCTCTTTGAAAGAGAAGAGGAAAATGAAGGTGGAAATGCAAGTCCTCAATAACTGTACTTTTCTTTGCACTGGGTTGTCCAGTAACTCCTTCCTGTGTCCATTCCCTTTCTTCCTAAGTGCTCATCTTCAAGCTGTACCAGCGGGCTAAGCACGTGTACAGCGAGGCTGCGCGAGTGCTCCAGTTTAAGAAGATCTGCGAGGAAGCACCTGACAACATGGTCCAGCTGCTGGGGAAGCTGATGAACCAGAGCCACGAGAGCTGCCGGGACATGTATGAGTGTAGCTGCCCTGAGCTGGACCAGCTGGTGGACATCTGTCGGTGAGACTGAGATAGCGGCATGGCAGGGGTTGGGGGATGCTGCCAAAGCAATTGTTTGAATTAATGAAAACCAAACCAAACCAAACCAAAACAACATTTTCATGGCCTTCTGAGTGAAAGACGATCCTTGCGCACTTCCTGTATGCAGAGTTGAGTGTGATATGGGGCCGACCTTGCTGCTTCCTGTATGTCAGTGTGATGAGAGACCGGAGGCCTCCTCCACGGCTTCATGAGGTTCCGGGTCTGGAGTCAGTTATTCAGAACCTCCTGGGAAAGACATTTCAGGGAGCTTTTCTCAGACGTGGCCCCTGTCACTTTCTCCTGATATTTTACCCGGTGCTGCCCACTGCACTGTGGCTCTGCCGACATCTCCTGTTTGGTGTCCTAAGTTCAGTTTTATTCAAAAGAACCGAAAATGGAAAGGGAGTCTCAAGCCCGATAGAGTGCTTGCTGAAGGGATTAACTCAGAGAGCCAGCGTTTCCTGCCTTCCTGGTTTATTAGGCAATTTTGGGGAAAAAGATGAGAAAGCCAGTTTATGAATGGTTGGTGAGACAGAAATGTAAAGAGGGAAACTTTCAGGAGGCCTGAGACCAGCTCATTTGTAACTGCTGGTGCGTGGGGGGAACAGAGGAGAGTGGTCTCTTTGCCCAGTGGGACCAGTGACCTTGGGAGAACTGAACGGGAAACTGGGCAAACACTCAAACGGTCACATGCTATTTTCACTGTGAGAAGATAGTACAGGAAGAGAATATGAGAGCTGTCTGCAATTAGTAATGAAAATATAATTTGCCACTTGGCGCCTATGGCTTGCCTCACTCATTGCCACACTCGCAGCCTGAAGAGTTTAAACCAAGCAGCCCCAGCGATTGCACATGGCATGCGTAACCCGGCTTGCTGAGAAATTTGAACAGAGCGTTGATGACAGTGATTCTGCTGCCGTCAGTGTTTGCTCAACTAATTGCCAAAAAGCCTTCCTGAGCTTGTTTCATTGTAAGTGCTCTTTTCAGAAAATATCAAGGGCCCGTTAAATTGAAGGGGACAAATATTGTTCCATTTTGGACATAAGAGGAAGAGGGATGGTTTGTGCAATATCAGGACGCGTCGCTGCCTGTAAGGTAGTGGGTGGTTTGAATCCCACCTGAGAAGCCATGGAAGGGCATTTGCTAGCTGCCTGCAACTCGCTAATGAACTTTTTCTTCCTGGGATGGTCCACAAGCTATGGTGCTTGTGGAGCTCACATTCTTTGGGGAAAGAGAGAAATTACAATCAAAAAGAAATCAGGTGGTAGTGACAAGTGTTATGAGAAAGAAGAAGGGATAGAGAGTACCAGGGTTGAGGGGGAAACCTTTATATGGAGGGGCTGAAGGAGTCCTCTCTGAAGAGACAGTATTTGAACAGAGACCTGAAGGAAGTGAAGCAATAGCAAGCGGCTAGGTCCTGAGTGGGCATGCGGCTGCCATATGTGAGGTCCAGCAAGAAGACCGGTGTGGTTGGAGGACAGTCGAGGAAGGACAGAGCAGTGGGTGATGAAGGAAGAAGGGTGGGAGGGGCCACATCACGTGGGCCTTGGGGACCACGGAAGGGCTCTGGCTTGAGGGGAGAAAGGCACATGGCAGTGCTAAGTTCCTGTTCAGATGCCTTGAAGGAAGACTCAAGACGATCGCTGTGGGTGAAAGGCAGGACACAAGATGACTCCTGGATTTTTGTCCTGAGGAAATGTCCTTGTTTCTATAAAAGCCACATTTTTGGAAGTCAGACTTTCTGGGTCCGAGTTATCTTATGATACCGTCAGATATGAGAGCAGGAAGAGGAGAGGTAGAGGTGCTAAGTGCTCAAGGGCTTTGAACAGTCGGCATAGCGAGGCCCCGGACAGGAGGAAGGCTGGAAAGGGGTCGGGAGAATCGCCAAAGATAATCGTCAGCTTTCCCTCCTGGTCCCCTTGTGGCACTTTAATGTTCCTTTAGTTTTCCTGAAGGCCTGTTTGTAAAGTATTTGCAAAAGACAACTAATTAAGTGAATGAAGGATTCCTATGCCTGGAATACTCAGGGCACAACTACAAGCTAGAATCTTCATATGCTCTGAGCCACACTAATGGAAAAGTGCCTCTACACAGCCAGCCTGTCGGACAACATAGAGGAAGCTGCTTCCTGACTCAGGTGGAGAGACGGGGAGAAGGATGGCGGTCACCGGTGCTTGCTGTTTTCTCAGTGGAGCCTTTTCCTGTTCCTCAAGAGAAAATCTGCTGAGGATCCAAAGAAAAGGGCCAGGGAGGGAGAAGGAAACCCCATTCCTGCAGGGAGGCTGTTTACTTATTTTTATTAAATTAACGTTAGAAGACCTCAATTATGTGAAACAAAGTATAATAATGAAGGATAAAGATGAAGCTTGCCCAATGATAAAATAACTCTTTTTAAGGAAAATGTAAATTTTAAGAAACAGCTGAATTTTGAAGTAGGATTTACTGAGGGACACAAAAGAGTTTTGAAACCAAGTCAATTACATGAGAAACCGCTCATTATTGGTTTCCCTGGTTGCCCTTAAGAAAAAACATTTAAGGCCGTTATTTCCTCGTTGACACTTGTTGAAATAAGGAGGACTCAGTGCTGCATTATTGCCCAAGCTGTTAATGACACATTTTAATAGACCAACAAAGGTTACAAAAGTAGAAGTGCTGTCTTCCTCAGAAGGCTTTCCACAGGGTTATTCCCCCGGAGCTGCTCAGCCTCCAGCACCTGTTCTTCCGAGCAGGTCCCAGTGGGGAGGGGCGAGGTGCACACCACGGTCCTGGGCCCTTTCCCCACCAGCTCAGGTGCTAGCCTGCAGCTCTGCCCAGGAAAGGCAGGGAGCCCTTCCCACTGCCCTCAGGCTCACTTCTCTTTGGGCCACTGTCTTCCACTTATTTTCATCCACCCAGATCTATCTATCTATCTATCTATCTATCTATCTATCTATCTATCTATCTATTTATATAGATACATAGATAGATACATAGATAGATATATAGATGGAGAAATACCATAAGCTAGAATCAAACCAACTGCTTTCCAATGGCCTTTAGCAGCTTAATATCTAAGATAGATTTGTAGTCATATTTTCTTATACTTTTTCATCTAAACAGTATTTGAAGTCTGTGATTTCTTGTATCTAAAGTGATCTGAAAGTGGTTCTAACCTGGCTGTAAAAATAATATGTTGTTCTGGAAGGTCTGTTTTTCTGAGATTCTAGTCAGAAAATTTTAGGCTTCAGAGCATTATCAAAGTATTTCCAGGTAAAGGATATATTACTGACTGCTTATGATTATGCTAGAGGCCCAGTGCATGAAATTCATGCACTTGCGGGGGGGAGGGGGTTGTCCATCAGCCCAGCCTGCAACCTCTCCAATCTAGGACATCTCTCTCACAATTCAGGACTGCTGGCTCCCAACTGCTCGCCTGCCTGACTGCCTGATTGCCCCCCAACCGCTTCTGCCTGCCAGCCTGATCACACCCTAACCACTCCCCTGCCAGCCTGATCAACACCTAACTGTTCCCCTGCCAGCCTGGTCACCCCTAACTGCCCTCCCCTGCCAGCCTGGTTGCCTCTAATTGCCCTCCTCTGCAGGCCTGGTTGCCCCCAACTGTCCTCCCTTGCCAACCCAGTCACCCACAACTGTCCTCCCCTGCCAGCCATCTTGTAGTGACCATCTTGTGACCACATGGGGGTGGCCATCTTGTGTGAGGGCATGATGGGCAATTTGCATATCACCTCTTTATTATATAGGATTATTATATAGGATTATAGTAGAGGCCTGATGCACGGAATTTGTGTAAAAGTGGCCTTCCTTCCCCTGGCTACACTGGCTTCCCAGGACTCAGACTTCCTGCTGGCCCCAGCTTTATCTGGAAGGATGTCCAGAATGATGTTTGGTCTAGTTAGCATATTATGCTTTTATTATTATATATTATATTATCCTACCTAATAAAATAGTAATATGCAAATTAACCACCATTCCGCTATACCCACAAGCCATGCCCACCAGCCACACCCACCAGCCAATCAGAGTGAGTATGCAAATAAACTCAACCAAGATGGCTATAGCCACAGAGAGCAGGAGGGAGGCTTGGATTTCCCAGGCAACAGAGGAAGCCAAGCTTTCTGCCTGTTCTTGCTGGCCTAAGCCTCCACTCAAGGCTACAAAGTTTCAGTTATAGAAGGTAAACAGATCCAAACAAATGGGGGCATCCACGGAGCTGGAGAGAGCAGGCTATGGTTGCCCCTGGCAATGGAGGAAGCAAAGCTTTCTGCTCACTCTGGCCAGCCCAGGCCTCTGCTTAAGGCTACAAAGTTTCAATTATAGAAGGTACATAGGTCCCAATAGAAATGGCTGCTGGCCACAGAACAAGCAGGATACTTGGCTCCACTCCAGGCTACAAAGTTTCAATTGTAGAAGATACATAAATCCCAGATACCAGGACCTCTGCTTGGGTCGCTAGGGGGCATGGCCGGCCTGCAAACCACCACAAGCCCCTTGCCCAGGCCTTCCCACACCTCAAGGGAACCCCCACCTTGGTCCGGGACACCCTTTAGGGCAAACCAGTGGCCACCACCCATGGACCAGGCCTCTATCCTATCTAATAAAAGAGTGATATGCAGATTGACCATCACTCCAACACACAATATGGCTGCCCCCATGGGTCAAAGATCCTGCCCCTACGTGGACACAAAATGGCCACCACAAAAAGGCCAGCAGGAGAGGGCAGTTGGGAGGGACCAGGCCTGCAAGGAAGGGCAGTTGGGAGGGACCAGGCCTGCAAGGGAGGGCAATTGGGGGCGATCAATCCTTTAAGGAAGGTCAGTTAGGGGTGACCAAGCCGGCAGAGGAGGGAAGTTGGGGGCAAACAGGCTGGCAGGGGAGCAGTTAGACATCAATCAGGCTGACATGGGAGTGGTTAGGGGGTGATGAGGCTGGCAGGCAGAAGAGTTAGGGGTTATCAGGAAAGTATGCAGGCGAACAGCTGGGAGTCAACAGTCCTGAATTGTGAAAGGGATGTCTGACTGCCTGTTCAGGCCTGACCCCTTGTGAGGTCTCAGATTGGAGAGGGTGCAGGCTGGGCTGAGGGACACCCCCTTCCCCCATACACAAATTTTGTGCACCAGGCCTCTAGTATTACATATATTATACTAATATACACTGAGTGTCTAGATTATTATGATCTTTGAACGCATAATAATTTGGCCACTCAGTATATATCCTATATAATAAAAGGCTAATATACAAATTGTCCCCTTAACTAGGAGGTCGACTAGCAGGCAGGTTGGCCAACTCATGTCCCCTCCCCTTAGCCAGGCTGGCCGGAGTCCAGTCATGCATGAATTCATAATATATTATTATGTGTTCATAGGTCATAATAATCCAGCCACTTAGTGTATTATGCCATTTCATATATAATTGACTTGATTTCAAAATTGTTTTATGTTCTTCAGTAAATTCTACTTTAAAATTTACATTTTGTTAACTTAAAATATATTTTTAATTGAGCAAGTATCTTTTTCCTTTCTTATTATACTTTATTTCACATAATTGAGGTTTTTCTAACATGAATTTTAAAAGCCTGAGTAAATATTTTGATATTTCTTTATTTTAATTTTTTATCACTTTTAATTCCCCCTATATCATCTTCCACATCCCCCCATCATTTCCCCCCAAAATTACTGTTATCCATGTGATCTTTCTCTTTTATTCATTTTTCCTCAATCTCTGCACACACACCCCAACTTCTCCCCCTCCCCCCAAAGACCTATTTATGAATCTGACTCTATTTTGCTTGTTAGTTCAGTTTGTTCATTAGATTCCACATATGCGTGAAATCAGATACTTGTCTTTCTCTGACTGCATTATATCACTTAGCATAATGTTCTCCAGGTCCATCCATGCTGTTGCAAAGGGTAAAACTTTCTTTTTACAGCCAAGTAGTATTCCATTGTGTACATGTAAAATAGCTGTTTTATCTACTCATCTACTGATGGACTCTTGGGCTGCTTTCTGGCTATTTTAAATGAACATAAGGGTGCATATACTCTTTCAAATTAGTGTTTTGTTTTCTTCGGATAAATTTCAAGAAGTAGAATTTCTGGGTCATAAGGCAGTTCCTATATTTTGATATTTTAAAACAAATATAAAACCCAATAGCTAGTTTTTAGGACCTAACAAATACCTGGAATTATGCTGGGCTGAGATTAGAGAGATGGATATAAGCTGTCCCTGAATTTAAGATACTATAAAATAATACACATTTGTATAATATAAAAACACTCATTTCAAAATAAAATTGAATTGAAATACATACAAGGCAAAATTCCTTTCTCTTTCTCTCTCTTTGTAGTTTGTATCAAAGTTGGGTCTTATTGGATTCCCCCAACCTCCACTGTCCTGTACATAGCGCCTTAGTAAGTGCTGTATGGTCAAATCAGATCCTTTAAAAGTAGGAAATTTTAGTCAGGCTTTATTGGGTATCTGGAAAGTTATAAGAATATACTTTTCAGTGATGAAAGGATCAAAAGCAATAGTCTATAATCTCCATCTCATATCTTCCCTCGACTTTGTTTGGTATATGATGCTTTTTAAGGCAGAGACTTCTTTTTTTGTTTTGATCAACCTTTCTACACTCTTCCTTGCCACAGTCATCAAAGTGGTGGATGAGGAATTTAGGGTTTGGTTTTTTATAACTCTTGTATTGCATCTCTGATGGTTGCCTCTCAGGGCCTATATTCTTAAGGTTTTACTGTTCTTCCAGAGGGAAAAAAAAAGCAAACGTGAAAAGTTCACTAAATGCCCTTGGTTCACCTGCTTCTTAAAGTTTTTATTGCCGAAACCGGTTTGGCTCAGTGGATAGAGCAATTGGCCTACGGACTCAGGGGTCCTGGGTTCGATTCTGGTCAAGGGCATGTACTTTGGTTGCGGGCACATCCCCGGTCAAGAGGCGGCTGATCAATGTTTCTGACTTTCTATCCCTCTCCCTTCCTTTCTGTAAAAAATCAATAAAATATATTTTAAAAAAAAGTTTTTATTGGTCTCCTAACTTTTGGGTTTCTGGGAGTTTTGATGGCATATGCCAGAAGGGCATATTAAATACCAGTGGGGACACTGTAGACAGGTCCTTTCAGCCTGTGAGTGTGTAGCTGGGCGGGCTGCTGACCAGCTGCTGGGCAGACCCTGATTTGTGATCACAAGTGCCTCTGGCTCAGGGCACAGGCTATTTATAATAGCACTTATCGTTCCCTATTTGGGAAAGTTGAGCTTTGATGATTTTAGACCATGTGGCTGATGCAATTGAGTCCATTTCATCTACAGCCGGCCGGGTGCTGACAGAGCCGCTCTGGGGACTCAGAAGCGAATGCATTCACCTAGGAATACTTGAGCTTCTGCTCTCTGGAAACTGGCGGGATACTCACCACAATAGGCCTTTTGGCACAATTTCTATGGGGTGTGCAGTGAGTTGGAAACAATACTCAGTTTGCTTTAGGTTCAGTTTTGAAACCACAGTTTTCAGAAACTGTTCAAATGAAAAACTGTAAGAAAACATGCCTACAAGTTGATTGAAGACATGAGACCTGGCTGGCCTGTGTCTAGCCAAGTGGCATACTTCGGGCCTTAGAGAATGGAGGAGGCACAGTGTGCTCTAGATGAGGAGGTGCTTTGCTGACACCTCTATTATTCTAGCATATTCCCCAGGGAAGAGAGTTTGATGTGACTAACAACAATATTTTTTTTTCCTAATCACCAAATTGCAAATTGGCCTTTGCCAGGCTATGGACTCAGAGTCATTCTAGGATCCCGGGCTCTGGCTATTAGGCCATCAGCTAAATGAATGTGCAAGGGACAGGAGGACAGGAGTGATTTTTATTTATTTCAAGCATTTTTGTTTTTTGCTTTTTTCCTTCAACATCTATTTTTATTTGAAAAGCATATTTTAATGAATAAGACAGATGATGACAAGAAATCGATTGACAAAATTATTGAGGGGAAATGAATCACTAGTGTCACTGGTGTGCATTAATTCTGATGTTCTAGAGTAGGGGTAATATTTTACTGGTATTTTCCAGGCAATAAAGTAGCTCATTTAGATGGCAAAAAGGGACAACATTGTGCTAAATTACTTATGGAGTTTTTAATCTGCTGTGAATTTGGAGTAAATTTTATTAGAAAGAATTAGAAGTACATGTTAACTTTATTGTCAGGATAAATAGCATCCTTGTACTTTGTACAAATCTTAGCTTTGACTGACTGGTTGATAGTGACTAAGATCACAGCCTGCTGGTGTGGTGGATTATCCAGTAGTTTCACACATTTCACCAGATGGTAAATTCTTCTTTTTTTTTAAAAATATATTTTATTGATTTTTTACAGAGAGGAAGGGAGAGGGACAGAGAGCTAGAAACATCGATGAGAGAGAAACATCGACCAGCTGCCTCTTGCACACCCCCTATGGGGGATGTGCCCGCAACCAATGTACATGCCCTTAACCGGAATCGAACCTGGGACCTTTCAGTTTGCAGACAAACGCTCTACCACTGACCCAAACCGGTTTCGGCCAGATGGTAAATTCTGAGTCCAATTGTCAGACCAGCTCCTGAAGATGCAGGAAGATTCCATGAAATCACTACTCGAAAAGCTGTAGAGCAGCCACCTACTACTCAGAGCCAAAACCAAGGGCCAGTTTTAGATGCAATTAAATTTGAAATTACCTCTGCAACAACATACATTTTCTAATTTACTAAAAACTTCAATGGAGAAAACCCTACAAAACAGCACACACACACACATACACACACACACGTTCTCTCATTAGCACTTGGGTAGGTTGTGTGTCCTATAGAACGCAGCAGCCAAATCACTCTCATGTTCCTTTACAGGGTCTGATTTTTCTTTTCTCATTGTTTCAGGACGTTTGGAGCTCAAGGGTCACGACTCACAGGAGCAGGATGGGGAGGCTGCACAGTCTCACTGGTGCCTGCTGACAAGCTGCCCAGCTTCCTAGCAAATGTGCAGGAAGCCTATTACCAGAGTGGCGACCGGCGCCTGGCACCCGAGAAGCAGAGTTTGTTTGCTACCAAACCCGGAGGCGGGGCCTTGGTTTTCCTTGAGGCCTAAACAATGTAAAAAAATCTCAGAGAAACTATTTAGGGCATTTAGGAACTGGCAGGACTTCTTATGCCACAGTAAATTAATCCTTTCTGTTTTGTATTATGATGAACGGTTGCTATTATCAAGATGTGTTTCCCAAGAAATGGTTGCAAGCTCTCTAAGCTTTATAACGATTATTTTTCCATCTTAAAATATGTTTTTTTATCAGTAGGAGTCAAAATTATGGTTGGACAGATCCCTTAAGAATGATTTACTAGGATTTATTGACTGTAAGATTTTTAAAGATGAATTGTAAAAAATAATCCCAACCTCATGGATTGGACTAGAATTAAACATACTGCTACAGTTAAACTGAAATAATTGACTTGTGTACAGTATCTTAAACACGGTTTACTTCTGGTTTCTCAGTGCTCTTCTTCGTCCCCGGTATTGTCTTCTGTTGATGATGATGATGACACCGATGTTAGAAGTTCTCTCTCAAACTTAGCTTCATTCCGCTATGAAAAGAATACATTATTAGGGAAGCACAGATTTTCCTGGACTGCATATTCCTGAGTGTGAGATTCCCCCAGTTACCAAGATGAGCATTATTAAAAGACTAGAGATCCAGAGCAGGAATTGGTGCATCTTGAGAGGAAATTAATTAGAAGAAATATTTTAATATTGCTGTTAACCCTTTCTCTATAATAGTAATGTCAACCAAATTCACGATTGATGATGACAGATAGAAACACAATGTATGATTGGTGCCAGTGAGAGCTTTATATCTATCACGCATGGATGATGCAACTTAGCCTTTTATATCTCTCTATATGAAAGCCTAAGCGACCAACTGCCCATTTAACTGTTCAACTGATAACTATGACATGCACTGACCATCAGGGGGCAGATGCTCAATGCACAGGCATGGAAACATGGAACAGAATGATAAATCTCAGAGAGAAAGGGAGGAGGAGGAGGTCGGGAAGAGATTAACCAAAAATCTTATATGCATACTAGAGGCCCAGTGCATGGATTTGTACACTGGGCCACTAGTGTATAGAATAAACTTGTTTAATTAGACCTGCTTTCTGATGTAGCTAAACTTTTTTTCCCAATCCAGTGAAGCACCCCAACTTCTCTTTCAGGTAATTGTCAGCAACACAGCAGTAAATATCAACATTAAGCAGATTATTATTATAGATCATGCAGGGAGAAAAAAGAGGGTGAAATATTTAACTGCAGCAGTGTTTGAATTACTATATTCTGTGCAATGAGAAAATCTGAGGTCTTTTTCAAGGTCTACCATTTCTTACTTCTTTTCAGTCAGGTCAAGTTTCTAAGCTTTCTAAATCTCCGTTTTCCGGGTAATGAAAAGAAAATAGGATTCCACCAAGTCTCCTATCTACCTATCCAAGACTTCTGTGAGGATCAAATGAGATGAGGCATGGGAAAATGCTTCACAGACATTTGGTTAAACTGTGAAGTATTTCCATCTGGCTATAAAGCAAGTTGTGTGCCTAGGCTGAAGAAACTGCAAGGAGACTAGTCTTCACTAGGGAGAGGAAGTTGGGCATTGCTACATGACTGTTTCCAGGCTGGGCTGGGCTATGGGCCACAAAATGGGATTTGGTAGGCTGTCACTCCAGGATGGTAGTGGGGCCTGTGTCCCACTTTGGGGAAGCCAAGTGTTGCTTTGTGGGTGCCAGGTCTGTGGTGCCATTTCTCTGCATGCGTCACAGCAGCTCCTGCATTGAGTGCCTGCCACCTGGTGGTTAGTGTGCATCATAGCAGCTGGTCAGATTGTCAAACACTTAACATATTAGCCTTTTATATATATAAATGGCTTTAGGAAGAAAAATCCTGATCATTTAATTTTTTTAACTATGTGATATCATATAAACAATCACTTTCAATTCTTTTGGCACTGAGCTCTGTCATTTAACAAAGAAACTTAGATAAAACATACTTTAAATCTTTATCTCTATTCACATTGAAATAAAGAATTATCTAGATGATGATGGAAATCAGTTTGTTCATGGAATTTACTTTCTTCCCACCCTTTTATCAAGTGACTATCTAAACCAAGAAGCTTGCTCACTGTCTGGGAAACACCACTTTGCATCCCTTTATTGTATGTTTAGCAAGTCTTATTCATATATGTGGGTCAGTTTAGGGCTGGTGTGCAGGTATGTAAGAGTATAAAAGGCTTAGAGAGTTGGTTCTGAGATTGGGTAGGGGTATTGGTGGGTACCTGTATATGTTTATCAAATGTGGGCAGAAATGTTTGGCCATGTGGAAATGGTAAATGAATGACTTTCTCTCACGGATAGAAGACAGGAGGGCCTTTTGGAATTATGTGAAGATTTGGACCAGAAAGCATTTAGTGATATAACCTGATAATTGAGATAGGAGTTGTGTTATGACATGAGTTATCCAGAAAATTATCACAATTTTCTATTATTCTATGATTGTTTTTGCTCGTTAATGTGCATCATCTTGAATCTCAGTTTCATGGAGGCTCAGGCCAAGTTGGTTGTAATAGTTCTCAAAGGATAATAGTCATATAGAGAGTACTAGGAAATCCATCATTTTATTCTAAAATAAATTTCTTTGCAGAAAGGCAAAAACTTAGAAAACTTAAGTCAAATTTATTGAAAGAATTTTGAGTTTTTAAAATTCAACTATCCAAAATCTGAATTGATTTCATTTTTAAAATCCTCACCTAAGTATATGTTTATTGATTTTTCTTTTCTTTTTCTTCTTTTTTTTTAGAGAGAGAAAGAGAGAGAGAAAGAGAGAGAGAGAGAAACATTGATTGGTTGCTTCTCATATGTGCCCTAACCAAGCCTGCAACCTAGGTATGTGCCCTGACTGGGAATTGAACTGTGTCCTTTCAGTGTATGGGACAACACTCTAACCAAGCCACACTGCCCAAGGAAAACTCTGAATTGACTTTAAATTATAATTTTTTAATACCTTTCTATTTTCCACAAAAGATCTGTGGTTGGTATATAATTCTTTAAAGATACCTACATTAGAGTTTTTTTTTTTTTTTTTTAAGGCACTATTATATTTAAAAAAAAAAAAAAAAAAAAAAAAGATCTGTTTTCCAATCAGACAATCACCAAGTGTTCTAGAAATTCTGAGAGATAAACTTGTCTGGAAAGGGCCATGGAGAAAAAAAGGTTCATGCAGAAGATGGAATTTGAGTGTGGATCTGAATTGCTGATGGTGGGAGATCCGATAATACTTTGGCCTCCATTCCTACAGGATAACAATGAACTGGAGCTGAGGAGGTCGTTGCCTGGTTTAGACAAGGGGAGTACTCTCCGTGTGCCACAGTTTTCACAGCTCCTCCTACTTCCAAATACTTGAACCGTTTATCATTGACTAGCTAAGGTCAGCGTGCCCTTTCCTTGCACACCTGCACAGGTGTTTTTTCTTACTAAACAAACATCTCTCCGGTCCCATGTCTCTGGCAGTAGTAGTTAGGAGATACCAATAAAAATGGGAGAAAGAAATATTTTGTGTCTGTGGAAGTAAAGGGTAGTCCTGTTTGTTTAATATTAAGCACCCAGTTATTTTACCCCTTTCTGTCCTACCTTTCTGGCACCTGTTTTGACATTACACTCACAGCCAATGAGGGTTACTCTAGATTTTTGAGAGGAAGCCTGGCATATTGAAAAGAAAAGGCTCTCTCCCACGCCTGACCTCAGCTTGTGTCCTTGCCTTGCTGGGAGGAAAGAAGGCCCTTCCGAAGGCACAGGATTGCCCATCAATGGAAGGGGAGGAAATGGGAAGGCTTCTTTCTTTCCACTCTGTTGAGATCCTTTTTCCCTTCTGTCTTAAGTTTCTGTTAATTGAGGGTATGACCCATTCATTTAACACAGTGGTTGGGATCCAATACATTTTTGTTCAATTATGAATGGAAAATATGAATATGATTTCAAACACCAATAATTTTCTGTTAATTTGAAAGTCTGACTGCATTTGGAGGTTTTCAATTATCCTTGGTCAGAAGCAAGGGATGGGGATGGTGGACATGAGATAGTCACGGACATGTGAAATGTGTACATGGATGATTTAATGTCATATGAAACCACATATTGTTTACTAAATATTGTCTGGTCTACATACTAGTAAGAGAAGCTAGAGAGAGACTTTTCAATTAGTTAAAAAACAAAACATACCAGTTTACGTAGGAACTTCTTATAGTCTTTTTCAGTTTCTAAAGGCTTCTTGGTAGCCTTTGCTTGGAGTCTGATCATGGAACAAAGAAAATCATTAACCAAACTAGTCTTTATACTGACACCAACTAAGACCAACATTTACAGTTTAATGTGCCAGGCACTTGCCAGGACTTTGCAAATGTTAATTCAATTACACTTGCAATTATGGAGTAGGTACTACTATTATTTATCCTGTGTTATCAATGAGGAAACAGCCTCTGGGAGGTCATAGAGCTCACCAGTAGCAGAGGATTAACCCAAGAGGGTGACTAGAGGGTGACTAGAGCCCTCAGTTCCACCACGGTGCGACACTGCATCCCAGCATGAGGCGTCCTCCTCGGAGAGATGCTGCACATGGCACTCCCTGAGCTGACCCCACTCACAGGCCCCACCACAGACTTGAGGAAGGGTCGGTGGGGAGAGAAGAGGAAGAGGGACTGGCAAGAGAAAGACCTGGGGGACAAAGAGAGAGACATGGAAGAGGCAAAAGGGAGAGGGTGCTCACTAGCCTAAGCTCACAGAGAGTGGGAATCCAGGGCTCTCTCATAATTTCTGTCCCCAAGTACTCCCTCAAGAACTATTTAGGAAGGAGATGAGCAGTTGAATCCACAGATCTTTGAATGAGGCAAGAAGCAGAAGTAGCCTAGGCAAGGAAGGGTAGGAACTTGCAACAAGGGAGAAACATTAGTAGCAAGAGAAGCAGGAATGAGTGAAAGAAAAATGAAAAAGGGTATAAAGTTATTAACTTCACTGGAAATTTTCAAATGATTCCTCCTCCATGAAATTTGTAGGAAG